TCTGCTCATTTAAGCTGTTCCTCTGCTGATGTTCTGCATTGCAGTATAATTAGACATACTGCAACGTTTTTAAACATGAGAAGTACAAACATCAAAAAACAGCCCTTAGCTGAGCATTTTCCTGTTGATTGCTCTTTACCTGTAGCTGAAGTATCACAGTAGCTGTCTGTACAGAGTAGCAGCTAATGGTGGAATCCCAGGTCTCCTTCACATCCATATAAGATATGGGAGACTGCCTAAATGCTGTATTGGTGTCATTGTATGTTTGTATTCCTCACAGGCAAGTTTCAGACGTAGGACTCCTTGTTTTCCAGATTAACATATGTTCTTTCCTTTACACGATCATTCACACTGCTTGTGTCAGGGCAACTTCCTGGGGAGCATGTTCAGCAAGGAGGGCTGAGTTCATGCTTACAGAGAAGTAGGTACTACAGGTCTCTGCAGGAGCCAAAGGGTTTGCTGTGGTGTGGAGGGCAGAGAGGCTGCTGTAGTTAGAAGTTGAGCTACTCTGTTCTGATGAGCACGGCTGGGGTGATCCCTTCAGCCTCAGGATGGCTGATGAGGGCTCAAAAAAGAAAGCTGCTGCTATTGCTTCAGAGTAGCAATTGGGCAGTCCTTCCCTGGCATGTCGTTGTCTTGTTCCCTGTCAGAGCGAGCAGTCACCGATGCCTTGTTTTGCTGCACGCTTCCTTTGAACAATCTTTGCCTAACGGGGGTTTTGCACTTGGTAGTCTGGAAGGACTCTGGGCTGGGGCGCTCCCTGACCTTGTAACTCAGGCTCGATAGGCTTGTGGCTTTGGGTGCAGGTGGCCTGCGACTATTTCAAGTGCAGCATCGAAATCCCAGCACTGCCATATGAGCAGCAGCGGGGCTGGGTTAGCATCCTAGCAGTGATAAAGAAGCTAGCAATGGCTGCTGGGGCTGGAACTGCCAGAGCCCCCATGCCACGCTCAGCCTGCCTCGTCCTGCGGGCAGCGACTCGCTTGCACAGGGCCACCGCTGTCACCGGCCTTTCAGCTGCTCCTGGAGCACCTCTCGCCTTCAGGTCTCGCCCCTTTTTTGCTTTGGGTAAGCAAATACAAAACAGACTCCAGCACAGCCTTAAAATGTCCACTGGACTGAAGTTCACCAGCATGGAATCAGTCGTAGCTGGTTTTGAGACTTACCACATGATAATTGCCTTTCTTTTGACCAGTGCCCTGCCTGACCAGAAGTCACTTCAAACGAAAGTCTGGTCTGAAGGATGGTGTCTCCAACAAAGCATCAGTTCTCTGACTCTATCCCATAGTTTGGGTACTGGATGTGGACTTGAAAATCTAAGATCGTGTCAAGGCCAAGAAGGCTGGTAATTATCCAGTTCCAAAATTATTAGAGCAATAAAAGGATTAATGAAGTTTTTAAAACCATAATTCTGATCTATTCTGCAAATTGCTCTTAAAGCTTCCTTAATTCCCTTTCTATTCTCTCTGTTTTTCCTTTCTTTCCTTTGTGGTTTAGGAGCAATTTGCTCCTACATCGAAGTGCAAATGTCTGTCTTTGACAGAAGGAAACTGCTGATCTGGTGCATAGATTTCAGCAGTGGCTGATTTTGATTCACTAGAGCTTGGAGCGATGATGCCAGATGTTAGCACCTGCAACAGAGACGCTGCATAAAGTTGTTCTGAAACAGCCGTCAGATCTATACACTTGCTAATCAAGTCACAGTGAAAGTGCTAAACTTCTCACTCCTGAAGTGTACCAGGTTTGGTGCTAGACTTCTAATTGACTCACCGACTGACATTTTTTGCATTCTCTTAGGTCTTTATAGTACAAGACTGCTGCAAGGTAAAAAGATTTTGTGGATTCCTTCTGGAAGGGAAAATAGACAGTGAATATTTCTATTTTGTATTACCATGACCATGAGTAAAGCTGGGCATCCCCGATTCTCATTATGAGGCTTCATATGGAGCTGAAAGCTGGTTTTATGTTTACTATATACATATAAAAGAATAGTGCACCAAAGTATTTATTGATATTTGTTGATTCTAAATATGTTTCAGATCTGTTTGCTTAGGAGGCAGGTATTCCTGAGTGCTGTCAGCAGAGCTAGCCCATAGTCTCCGATGGACAGAGGACCGACAGCTGTCACACTGGTACCCAGTCGTTATGAAAGTTCTACATGCCAACAAAACATACTAATTTGTACCACTGTATTGAACTACAATTGTATTTTTGGTGCCAGTATAGCTGGAGTATTGGCCACCCGAGTCTCCTGCCCTTCTTTGCACTGTCCTACTTCTTCCCTCCCGAGCTCTGGTCCCAAGGCAGTTTCTGCTCCAGCAGAGCAAAGCAGTGTTTCTGAAGGGCAGTGCCAGGGAGAAGATCCAATGACCTGGAGTAAGGAGGGGTGGCACCACCCATTCTGCCCTCCCCAGAAAGTCACAGCTCGGTAGCACCACCGCACATGGTGATACCTCAACACTTAACAGCAGGTTCTCTGCATTGCTGGGGTTCTCCAGCACCACAGGTTTCCCCTGGATCAAGTGTGGGCACATAATCATATTTCTGTCAAATTAGCCAAGGCACAGGATGATGACGTTTGTGCCAGCTTTATGCTTTTATGTTGCCTTTACGCTGGCTCTAGGAGGAGAGACGTTATCTGACCTGGCAGAAAGTGTGAGCTGTAGAGGCAGTGATACCTCATCTGGCATAAAACCTGTCAGTACAAAATTAAGTCATTATTTTTCTTTATTTGAATTGGCAGTGTGAGTTCGTTCTGGATCAGCACTTTCATCATGTGTCTGGCAACATTTCTGACGGAGTATTAACAGCCCTAAAGCGGGATTTACTGAGTTGTGGGACCACAAACTTACTGTTTGAGCTTACTCTGATAAAAAGGCAGGGAGTTACTGGGTGGCGGTTTTCACTAGGTTTCAGAACGCTCCTACCCAGAGCAGTTTTCTAGTTAGGAACAATTTCCTCCCCCACAAAAAACACACCTTCAAAATTCCTATCTAACCAATAAACACCACCCCAATACAGAAAATCCACGGATTAAAGGTTCGTATGTAACTTCTGACACACTCCCCCAAACCAAACCTTTTGTGTAAATGGGAAAAAGAATCCTTTTGTGGTGTAGAAAGTCAACATGGCATAAATCACTATTTCGTTTGTTTTGTTGCTAGACATGCTGAACAAGAAACCACCACCAGACCTGTGAAATTCTCCCATTAATCCTACCGTAGTGATTATGGCCAATACTCTTGGGACCATGAAAAAATGCTTAAACATATTCCACTGACTAAAATGTAGTATTTTCCTAGTTGCAGTAAGGATGGTGTTATGCACTAGCTTGAATACTTGAATTAAATTACTTTATGTAACTTCTACTTTTCTCTACCTCATTTTCCAAAAATGATTTGAAAATAGAGTGGTTTAAAAACATAACAGAGCTTCCAAAGAATAGAAGGCATTGGCTAAATGTTTAGTCTTTCAATACTTCTATTTGCTAATGAATCCTTGGAGTAAACAAGCACTCTTTTACCCACAGTTTCTGCAAAGCACTAGCCTTTTGTTTCAGACTCAGTACACTCGACTGAATGAGGTAATGCCTACATCTCCTAGGCCAGGAATGTATTCAGATTGGGCACTGGAACAGGGTGGGAGGATAAAACCTGCTCTTTGGTAAACACAGGGTAAACTTCAGCTCAGCTTCCAGATTGCTGTGCTCAGAGGAAAGAATTAGGACTGCTTGTCTGAACACAAAAACATCACTTCAGCAGTTTAGCAACCGATTCAAAGCTTCACATAGATGCCCTCAAATGCATTATAAACACATTATGTATACATAAATATGTGTTTTAAATTAAGAGTTCTTGTGACACAATTGCATCAATTTAAGTGAGTCAGTTAAACACTACTCTGTCCTCAATACAAATACTGTTTTTAAATTCACTCATTTAGAAGCAGGTGCTGAAGCAGGTTTCCTGAGGTAGAAGCTGAAAGGACCTTGGTTCTGACTGAGCTATAGCTACACTCTGAAAAATAAAAAAGAACCCCTCTGCATAGCAATCACAAAACCACAGATCTGTTTCACCAAAGAAAGCTCCTCTGCATCCCTGACGTGACATTAGAGGTCAGAATAATTTTCTTTAGACATCAAAGTCAGACAAGCACAATTTTCCGAAGTACATTAAATAGTATTTATTGAGTTTGTAATTTCAGGGGCAAAGCTGTAATCTCAGTCCCAGCTATTCACACACTGTGGCACTGAGCCCTCATGCTCTTTCACCCATTCAACAAATAAACAATAACATGGAACATCATAAAGAGGGAGTTTGAAAAAAAAAAACCCTATACTCTCAGGTTTGAAAACAGGAAACAAACTGAAGTCTTGTTCTGATTCACAAATACATTTGCCTTCTTGATTAAACATAGTATGTTTTTACAGAACAACAGACATGCTGATGTTTGGGAAAAGGTATGGAATGGTTGATCTGAAAGAAAGTAAACCTATGGAGGGCACTGAGAGCTTTTCCATATGAGCACAGTGACAGCTGGATGGTTAATGCAGACTTTAGACTGCAAAGAATTCCTCACAGGAGGGAGGGATGCTACCAAATATCCAGTTGGGAAGAGCCCCTCTTTTTTGGGAAGCCTTTGTGTCTGGGACTGATTCTGTGGGTGCATATGGTCAACAAACCATCAAGAGCTTGCCTGTAAAATCTTATGGCGGAGGTCGTTTTCATTTTCACCATGGTGACCCTTCTGTATAGTAAAAAAAAAAAAAAAAGGCATCACGCAATATACACAGATCCATATTTACAGAATAAGTGGCAGAAGAGGAAATTAGATACAGTGACATTAATGTCCAGGCATTAACAAACAAGATCCCTTGTGTTGATTCAGGGGTTATTCACAGTTCGTTTAAGCAAGTCCTTTTCTCTGCACATGGGTTCTCTTGTTTTGCAAATGACAGCCAGCAGGATGTCTCACTGTAAGAAACAGATGCTTGCTCTCCCTTAAACCATGGTCATGACCTTCAGAGAGGCAGGTTGGAATCTCCTAATCTTCTTCTTTAGTGCCTTTGAAGCTTTGATGCGACAGATTTTGGGCACTGGGGGAAGAGGCTTGGAAGAGGCCTGGGCAGTCCCTGATTGTCTGACCGAACCTTCAGGCCAAATCAGCTCACTTTCATCCCCCTCATCATAGTCAAGGGCAAGGCTGCTACTGTTACTGCTGCCATCCGCATCGCTTTCACTGGACTCACTGTCCCCGAAACGGTTAGTCGTGAAATCACTGACCTCCCCTTCACTGGTCTCTGCGATGGTGGAGTGAAAGAGGGAAGCACACTCTGCAGAGTACTCGGAGTGGTCTGACTCACTTTTGGCATAAGCTCCGTGGCGCTGACTCTTGGAGCGAGCCCTCATACTGACAGTGCGCAGGACACCAGCTCTCCTTGCTGCCTGCCTTGGCACTCCCAGGCCAAAGCTACTAGAGAGACTGGCCAGGTGGGCCTTGGCAGAGATCTCCACTGTGGACTGCCACTTGCGCTGCTTCTTCTTGTTGGCTGTGTCTATGCAAGCTCCTTCAAGGGAATACAGTGCATTGGCAGAAGCTCTGGAGAGCTCTGGCCTGGATGGCACGGTGGGGAGCCTGACCTGCACAGGGAACAGGCTAGACTCTGAGCACGACCTGCCGGTCACGTCACCAGAATATGAAGGTCTGCGCACGAGGCTCTTCGCTCCCTGCTGTCTTTGGGGCTGATTCCACTCAGCAGGCAGCCTGGCAGCCCCATGGGACCCTCTCGCCTTTTCCATGCAAAAGGCTTGCTTCCCAGGCCGTAGTACTTTTTCACTGTTCCTCCTCTTTATTTTCACTGCCTTTGTTTTGGAGCTGGCAAACTTGACCCGGACTTGGTGGGATTCTGCAGGGACGAACTGAGCATGAACGAACTCACTTTGTGCCACTTGCTCATGACACCCGGCGTTAGCCAATTTGGCATTGCCACACCTTTTGAGGGGCAGCTTTCTGAGTGGGACGGCTTTAGCAATCCAGGTGCCCGGGCTGGAGTCCTCCTGGCACAGCTGCGAGCAGGACGAACTGCGCTCCACACTGCTCTCTCTTGCTTCTGCCAGAGGAGAGCCCCTTGCTGCTGACTTGGCAGGATAACAACTATTCACAGCTGATGGCTCTGTGTCAGGCCGAGTGGATGGCTGTTCTTCATTCACACAGCGCATGGTCTCCTGCTGCTTGGCACATTCCCCCTCCGGCACCTCTCTCTGCAGCTTCCCTTCAGCTTTGTTACTTTCCAGAGAACTTGCTTGTTTTTCCAGCTGGCTACTGCTGCTGTTAATTTTCACTCCACCGGCGCTGGGGGTTATAATGAGTCTCTGGTGCATTGTGGCTGGCTGGCTCTTTGTTGAAACCCACTCACTGGCATCAGCCCAATTGTTCCCTTTGCATCTCGTCAGCTGCAGTAATTTATTGATGTAACCCCCTGGCTTGGCCTCAGCGGTTGGCCTACTCCTAATCAAGCTGGGACCTGGCGCACTAGGCATGGCTTTGCTGGGAGGAGCCTGGAGGTCTGCTTCTAGGGATGTCCCCACCAGGGAGAAAAGGGGACTTTGCAAAGCCACCGCATGAAGGGGGCTTGGGTAAGGATACACATCAATGCCATTCTTGGAGACCAAGTCATTCTGGAATTTGGGATCCACGCTGAGCAAGTGCATGTCTCCGGCATGGCACAGAGGCAACAGGGATTTGGGATCTGTCTCTTTCTGAAATCTAGTGTCTGCTGGAATAAGTCTTTCCAAGTCACCTACACAGTGGATGAAAATAAATAACCTAATTAAATCACAGACAATTACATTCAAACTGGCTTATGCTATAAGTGCTATTTCAGAGGGATGTGCTAGCTTTTACTAAAATCAGTAGCATGAATGAAGAAAATAGTTTCAGTCCTCCAAGTTCACTGAACTACTTCAAGGCTTTTATTCACTTGAGCATAACGGAGATTAGAATGCCTTCTAATGCCAATAATAAAATTCATGCCTTTGCAGGGAATTTAAACTGTGCTGCTTGGATGAAAGTAAATCTGCGCAGATGTAAAAATGTTCTAGAATGTCAAGACTAACAGGAACCCAACCAACTACACAAAAATAAGGGATTATTTTTATTTCTTAGCAGAGATAAAAAATGAATCCATCAACCAGAAAGCCTGAAGCTGAATGTCATGTAAAATTATCCAATACAACAGATATAGTTTTTGAACACTTTCCCCCCAGGGCAGGGTAAAGACTTCCTCTGGATATATGACTATAACTCAGAAATTCCTGAAATTTCCAGCACGCAGAGTCAATGTTTTTTTTTTTTTTTTTTTTTTTTTTGAAGTGGTTAAATTTGAATTCCAGCTTTTCCTTCAACATCACATGTCTTGGAAAAATCTGTAGTACTCAACCAGCTGCTTTAAGAGGACTTAAGCAGACACTAGGTTATAGAGTTGCTTAACCTCTTAAATGCTGGAAGCAGTAATTGTTTATTCTTTTGCATTTTGCTTTAGTAAGGTATTAGTAAACAGAAGCACTCAATGCACACAGGAGAGCCATTAAGACTCATGTGTCCCATAGGCCAGAGAGTGACATGATTCTACTTTTCCTTAACCCCAAATCCAATGAGACCTCCTAACTGGATCTCTCATTTCATTTGATAACAACATTACTAGTCTCATGCCTTTCTCAATTAAGTAACTTCTTAGAGTATTCAATTCCAGAAATAAATATACAGAGGTTTTATTAAAAAGAAGACAATCAGGCATGCAATAATTCTATGTGTGGAGTTTTTAAAAGTCAACCTTAAGGACGTAGAAGAATGGACTAAAGAACCTTTACTTTGACAAAGAAAAAAAATCTAAAGGTAACTGCTCAGGCAGATGGGAGGCTCAGTCCCTGAAGACGGCATTTATGGCCACCAATTCAGATCTCTTAAATTTTGGAGTACTGTCAAGGTTGCTGTAAGTTACACTTGACTGTTGTACCTTCCTCTCAGGAGCATTTCCTGTGCGCTCAGAGGACAGGCTGCGTTCTTGTGTGAAGTAAGACGGTTCCACCGAGACAAGTCATCTGATAGGGTGCTATGGTGCTGTGTTACCTTTGGTACCAAGAGTACTGGAACCATCTGCAGTTAGCTTGGATTTCTCTGTACAACAGTGCAGGCTTCAGTGCCAACAAATCCTCAGCTAACTGATTTCCTGGCTGCTTCATGCGACCAGGAAACCCAACCATCAAATCCAACCACATATTTCACTTACAGTGACTATTTCTGTCCTGTGACAGGAAGCTTTTGAAAGACTTCAAAGTTTGGCAGTCTGCAGTGTCCTACCTGAGGTACCTACAGACCTGCTACAGCAAAGGTTAGGATGATGATTTCTCAAACAACATATTTTCATAATGAAAATTCTTTAGGAAGTTGTTGGCAGTGTGTAGTGGTGCTCTCTTGTGCAAAGAAACCAGGAAGGTGTCAAAAGAATGCTGTGCATGCGCTGTCTCAGCAAGCTTTCTGCTTGCCACTGAAAGAAAAGGCAGTTGGTTTGTACCTGCAGTTATCTGTGGGGACAAGCTAAGGAGAGGAAAAAAGAAATTTTTTCCCTTCTCCAAATGACGCTTTTCTGAAGTAACACCTTGCCTCACTTCTTGCAATGTGGTCAACTTCGCGAGAATTGTTTCTTCAAGACTACACCCACTAACACCCCATTACTTACGTTTCTCATGCTGCAGGAAGTAAGAGATTGTAGCCAGGAAGAAGGGAGGTGGTGGTGGAAAAAGGAATGAGGGCTGAAGAAGGTCTGTAGCCTCACTCCCACACTCCTACTTAACATCAGCTATCCCTTTTTCTGCTAGTCTATCTCCAAATCCAAAAAAACATAAAGCCCCTGAGGTCTTAGCAAAATGCTGCAAGGCAGGAAAGTTTCTGATAGAACAAGAAATCTGTAATCTGAACATGGAAGCCAGAGATCATTAAGCTCAGCTCCATCCCCAGCCTCTGAGAAGCCTTGAGAATACTTTGCTTTTATGCTATAATTTACCACCATCGCTTCAGGTGTGCCTGCACAGATAGGTACAGAACAGGCGGTCTTTGCTTCTGCTCCAAGCAAGCCAGAGGTGAGCTAGCTCAGGTCACGAAGCTGTGGGAATGACTCCAGAGTGGCACTGTACTTGAAAGGATGTTCCCTATAGCTTCCCTGTTTCTATAATGGAACTGTCACACATCTGGCTGGGTCACCATATGAAAACAAGGTTGCTCTGAGGCCATGGAAGGATGCAAAATAAGAAGTGATACGATGTCACTTCACAGATGGGTAAACAAGAGATTTGGAATACTAATGGACTTGTCCATTTTGTCTAAAGGTATGATGCAAATTCACCGTCGATCCACTATTAGGCTCATGACTGGTTCCTAGACAGTCAATTAACCTTTGGTGTCTGTTATCCTTAACCGTACATAATAAATTATGAAAAAGAGTATCGTTGGAGTCCATGTTAATATGAATAAATAGGGCAAGGCATGTATAAGTATTATCATACTCATTTTACAACAGATTGACAAAACAGGCACTAAGTCTGAAAGTGTCTCTTCCTCCTTAAATTTCTGTAAAATCTTTCTCAGTAAAATGCATCACCTCTAATTTTGAATTCACTTTATATTTTTCATACATCCTTGCACCTTCACAGAAGGTATTTCAAATACTGCAATTTTTCTGATTTCACAAGCAGGTAAATTAAAAAAAAGCATCTCAACTTTCATTCCAATTTTATCTCATGCACTTATATATTTTTCCATATCTCAATGCATACGTCCTCGTACTTGTTATTATTTAAAAGGATCTGAGTATGGTGACAAGTGAAAGTTGGACAGGAAACGGTTTGGCTCTGTGGTTTCGATTAATTCTCACTCTGTGTATTGAAAATTAGTGTTATATATTGATTACACATTGGTATATTAGGTCCTAAAAGTAATAACCAGGATTCTGCCCTTCTCTTGAACGAGTATCCAGTTCTGCAGTTGATTACCTGTGGAAACTGGCCTCGGTCGGGACCTGGCAGGAGTCCCAGAAATGTCTGTGCTGGCTGTAATCCGACATCCATCGCTGACATAAGTTCCCTGCTGTTGGAAGCTGGTGGTGTGCACAGTAGTTTCATCTGCAGACTTGGGTCGGTAATCAAACACACTGAGCCTTGCTTTAGGGTGTTGAGAGCCGGGCAAGAGGCTGGTGTGGGAGGAAGAGATGGACTCACTGTACACAGAGGTACAAGAATTGGAGAGTGAGCAAGAACCACCGTCGCTCAGGTCATAAAAGCCTGCAGAGTTAAAATAAATAGGAAGATATTTCTTATTTACAGTAACTAAACATGCTCTGTAAAAGAAAAATGCAGAGAATAGAACAAATCTTCATTTGCGATGTGCCACAGGCCTAAATTCACGATCACTTATTTGGGTAACTTTAGCAGAGGTATGGTCTAATTCAACCACCTTTTATTGAGCTTCTGCATATTTACTGAGGCCCTGAGCCAGCTTGGCACACACATGCATGCTTAGTTCTGAGGGTGGGATGGGGTGAAGTGCAGCACCATCACACCCAGTTCTTCACTGGAAAACATCTGTGGGGACTATTATGCAACTGGTGTAAAATAGGGCTGTCTTATGCTGCTGTAACTCCTGCTAGGTGCATACAAGCACAGCTTGGATGGGAAAGTAGAGTAAAACTAGCCTGTGATCAGAGCTGCCAAGTCTACGATAGCTGCAATGTCTAAGGGAAGAGAATGGAGGCTATCTTCCCTCTCCAGGTCTTGTGATCATTGCCAATTAATTATGGAAGTATTAAAAAAGGCTCTGTATAAATTCAAGCTAGGAATTTTTATTATTCCTCTCTATATAAAGCAAACAGAAAAGGAAGCTTCTGAAACGTGTGTATGTGCTTAAGTGCACAAATCCTGAACTTACACACTCAACATTTAAAAAAAAAAAAAAACCCAGAAAAAATACTGTTTGAGTGAAGAAGCATTTCCAACTAAAAGTGTAGTAAAATTCCCACCAGCTCTGTGCCAGATGACTACTCTCCACCTCAGCCATGGGGCACTGTTTCTGACCAATCAATACAGAGAGTTTTGCTTAGAAGTGACACCCTTCAGTTCTCCTAGCACCACACCCCTGGGAATAAACGACCAAGTGCGCATTACCTGAGCTGGGCCGGCTGTCACTATCCAAGTATTCGCTGGAGGTCTTACTGACGTCCAATTTCAGCTCACTTATTCGCTGGTCTAGCTGATCCAGGTGGCTTTTCAAGCCGACATCCTGTCTCCTCAAACGAGACTAATTCACAAGTTGAGAGAAGAAGGAGGAAATGAAGAATAATCACAGTTAGAATCTCAGTGGCAACGAATGAATTCGGGCCATCTGTGCGGGCAGATTCTGCTCTCATGAAGTGTTTTGCTTAGCTAGGGACTGTTGCAAATGGTTCTCTGTAACGAGACTGACATAATGGACAAGTACAAAACATTCTGTTTCTCAGCATGTATTGTTTTCTGCCCAGTGAACAAGTTCTCAAATCTTTTCATACTGAATATACTTATTTTAACCTTTGGGTTTTTTGTTACACCTATGGCAGGAACTGTCTCTCTATGAAGAGGATGGCAATCTTTTAACTAATTAATGTATTAATATAGGCACTGCGTTTTGCCATACACTGCCTCTGAGCAGAGGATGAGATTATGTATTGTCTGCATGAACTCTAAGATGCCGCCTGATGAAAGGAAACTGCTGTACGTAAAAGTATCTTATTGCCACACAAAGTAAAGGCAGCATACTCATTTCTGTAAAACCCTTGGCTTTGATGACATGTCTTTATATAGTTGAAAGGGTACACTGCACAAATTGTGACATCTGTTTTGCTGAAAGCTTTCCTTGCATGTCTCATGGCTAGATATTTCCACACATTTCATGCAAGGAGAAGGTGGCATTTGAATGCTGCTGTGAAAATGACTGTATTTAAAATAAATGGTGTCTCAAGCTTATGAATAATCCTTCAGAAGCCAGCAACAAGGTCCTTTGCCCACTGCAACCACTGACCAGGCTGATCTGAGGTCACTGCTCCCGCAGTTGCTCCCCCAGTATTTATGCCGTCAGCTTGGCGAGGAAGATGGCCAGGCGTTAGGGACCAGCCAAAGAACCACAGTTGGTTTCTGTCACAAACTTCTCACATGGCACTAGGCAAATTATCTAGGCCCAGTAGCTATTTAGGCAGCTTCTAATTACATCACCCCTCACCACCCATCCAACAGTACTTTGCAGAAAGGTGGTCTCTTGAAGTTGGTTGTAAAGTTGTGCTCACAGCCCTTGAGGGGCCAGGTTTCCACTCAGTAACAGCGAGAAAAACATGACTAAGATTCTTCTTTATTTGTACGTTTCAGATTTAAAAATACAAGTGGCAGGTCTAGCAGCATTTCCAACCCCAAATATGAAAAAAATATAATCTAGGTCCCTTGAACTAATTAAGTATCTGCAGAATTAAATGACATGCAGAAAATCAAAATCAGTATGTACACATTTTTGACTCCACTTTCCTTGTGTTTGGATTATTCATATTTTAATATTTGCATTTTTAGGTTTCTCCATAGCTATAAATACTGAAAGCAAGGAACTAAGGTAACTGGTAAATGATTAGAAACTGGGATTTAAGGAAAAAAGACAGATGTCCCAAGCCTCACAAAACAACTATTACGACTGGTGATGCTGCTGAGAAGAATAAAAAGATTATTTCTAGCATGCTTTTATGGAGGACTGGAAGAACATATAAGACACAAGAATAAAGCCCTTTTTTGTTAGTGTCACACGTCTAGAAATGTTTTGCTCAAGAGGCTCATTACTTCTTCCTAGGAAAACCCATGGTGATTTTCCCTCTTCCTGTTTCATATAAACAAAAAGGAAGGGAAGAACTGGATAATAAAGGACATTTTCTATCCGATCTGAATGATGAATGTATGACCTCCTCAGTACTTCATTATTTCCTTTATGGTGAAAAAGCAAAAACACGCCGTGCCTCCTTCAATCCCACCTACTCAGGAAATCACAAAGTTTTGTTTTCGCGGCTGGAATTAATTGCTTAACGATTAATGTTTTGCCAGCCAATCCCTCAGTCTGTGGTTTCTGATTAATGACAGAGAGGCCGCAAGGCTCTCAGGTATTCAAAGATTATTTATTATACCTCCAGGTTCTGTCTATGCTTTCACAGCATTTTAACCAACACACATGATTTACATCATTGTTTTTAACCCTTTTATGGTGTCTCGCACCATTGGGTTTTCATGTTTCCGGCAGACTTCATAGCTTTGATCTTTCAGTTAACTCCTTCTGCACTCTGAGACAAGAAGCATTCCTCAAACCATTTGGATAAGGATGACTTTTCCGGTGTGTTTGCTTGAGGTTGTTATTGCTCTAATAACCACATTAAGCAGCACCCACAACAATAAACCCTAAGCGCACTCTTTCTCAATTCACAACATGAATTTTACATGAGACAAAACCTTGTAGGTGAAACCATCTGTTTGCTTTGGGCAATGCAGCTGCGAAGACTTCCGTACGCTGCACAATGCAGGACCAGACTTTCCAAAGCAACTTGTACTATCGATGTCCTACAGTTTTTGGGAGCCAAATCTGGGAGATTGTCATACCACTCATTTTTCAGAACGAAGAACACTCTCTGAAAAGCAGGTTCCTTTAAGACAACGCAAATTGGCCCCCCAAACCAAGGCACCAAAAACCACTGGTCATACTTGACTATTCTTCTCAACTATTAATTTCTTCAGTTAAAGGGGGGTTGACATTTATTGGTTGTAGATTAGCACCTGATAATTTTATTAATTCAACTGTATTTTGGAATGGACAAAAGATAGCATTAATCTTGTATAGTTTTGCACATCTGAAATCTATTCACCCTTGGGTGTTTTTGTAACTGATGGTGCAAAGTTGCCAGCTTCAGAGGAAATTTAATCTCACCTATCCCAGACCCTTATTCTAGAGTGAGGTGAATTCCTTCTGGAAGCAACTCTTTCTCTCAGTTGACAAAACCTTTAAGTTAGTTTAGTGTTAAAAAGCCCCATAAAATCCCTGGTTTAAAACATGTTTTCTTTTATCTAAAACAGTGTAAGGGGGAAAAAAGATCTGTGCAAAATGCAGGGTACCAAGTGGCATTTTTTTCCTCTTCAGTATGATGTGTCCCTTCTCACACTTTTGTAACATCATAAGCCACCTGAAAGCTTGCAAAAAAAAAAATCATAGGATTCAAATCAAATCAACCGATTTTTATAAATATGTTCTCTGAGGAAACAGCTGAGAAAATACTGGATGCTGCAGCCTTAGACATCCATCTACTTTGACAGTGAAAGTGTCCCAGATTTCTTTCTTTGTATTAGCCTGAATTTGTATCTCTCCTTTTTCCTCTATGCCACCTTGATATAGTTTGGCCAAGAGACTAGTTTAGCGCCTTTGGGACCACTGACGGTAGATGGCATCACTTAACTCTGCTTCTCTTCTGCTACAGAGAGTTGATCCTGCCTGCACCGTAGCAACTTGCAGCTGCCAGAAGAACCCCTGGCCACCAAAAAGAGCCTGGCTGGGGCAAAAAAAGGACATGACTGCTAGGGGCAGCAGCAGGCCTGCAACCTTGCTGGCTACAGCAGACTGCTGGAAAGGCCAGCTGCTGGCTGTTGCTGGTACCTGTTGTTGGGGAAGAGATTGGGATGCTGGAGTGGCATCCACACCTGGTCCCTAACACATTTGATGGCTCTGTTGCTGGTGGCACTTGACTCCTTAAGGACAATGCCTCTGCTCTTCTATTTCTCACCTTACCATTATAGGAGAAGCCTGGCTTGACTCTTTATCTGCCTTGTTTCCACTGCCTTGAGCCACTCCAGCTGATACAGCTTCCCCATTTTACGTTGCAAGGTCCAAACTTTATGAATTAAGCCGTGACCGTGATAAAGCCCAGGGCTACAGCCCTACTTGAAGCTTGGATCAAGATACACTGCAAGGCAAAGCTAAATTTACAGCATTAATTAGTTTCTCAATCTGAAATCTTACAGAGCAGAGATCACATACTCTATCGTCCATGGGCCAAGAACAACAACGATGAAGACATTAACACTCCCTGAGCAATGCTGTGCTTTGCATTTTCTGTTGTTTTTATTTTTAACTTAATTTCCTGTGATCATGAACAGAATTTTCAAGGGTTTTGAGTGCAACACACTGCTCACGAGTCACCGAGAAACAGTTTTCAGCCTGTGGTCACCAAGTTCCTAGGATCTGTGGACTACTTCTAACAGGAGTGTTAAAAAAAAACCAACCTGGGTTTACTTTGCTATTAAGGAGCTTTGAGGTTTGCACCTCTACTCAAATAAATGTCAGCAATTTGCAGGGGAAAAAAAAAAAACCAATAAAGGTACCAGGTATGCCAGTCTGAAAAGCTTCCAGGAGCCACAGGTCAATCAGAAGAGCTTTGGACCACTACTTAAGCATTCGCACAACTGCATTTTTGCTGAAGAACCTGCCCCTGGATTTATGTAGTTCCAAGTCATCCCTCAAGCTTTATGAACACTTCCCTCCCAGGCACCCCCAGAAGACATGTTCCCCATAATTGCACTGGCACCTACTGGCGAAATCCGTCCCTCTCCAGCGGTGTGCTGAGTTACTCTCTTCCTCCTGACTCCTGCATTGCTAAGGGCAGCAATTAAAGGCCATTTTTTTCTTCTATTTTAATGGTTAGTTTCTCCTGCGTCCTTGGAAATCCTTGTAAGGTGCCAGAAAAGTCCTGACAAGCTAATCTTCTCTTTTCATATTTTATTTGAAAAATATATAAACCAATGAGTAATTAAAGCACAACAGCTGACATGAGAAAAGAACAGTCACTATGGTCAGAGGTCCCTGGGTGTTTCTGTTAACCCAGTGGCCCCAGACAGGAAATAAATGCCTTCAATTCTTTTGTTTAGTTAAAAAAAAAAAAAAGAAATAAAGTAGAGCCATTAGTTAAAATTATCAATGACAGGTAATCAAGCGGTTGGCAGTCCACTTGTCCTGCATTTTTTACTTTAATCAAGATATGCCCGCTGCTGTGTTTTCCCATGTGGTGGCTAGGTTTCCCTGAAGGTTAAAGCCAATTTTATTCCAAGACGCTGCCTGATAAAGCTGCCTACGGGGAGCGAATAGCCATGCTGTTTTCACACCTGATTGACAACTGACGGCCAAGCCTTGCACCAGTACAGGGAGGGAGAGGACTCTGAATTAAGTCTGAGTTTACTGAAGGGTGTAATTGCCCATAC